GTATTGTAAAATAATTTTTTTATATGTTGCACACCGGGTGAAGGATCAGTCGTGTAACATCGACGGTTCCTCCTGTTAATATACGCATAGGCTATGACTCAATTTCTGGCTGAAAATACTACTGTCTTGCAATATGCAACATGAGAAATAGTCATATTCAGGATTATAAAAATAGCAATAAATTAGAGAAGAATAAAAGTAAGGCAGGATATATAAGGTTTGGAAATTATTAATGATGAAAAATAGGTCACTCTATAAAAAAATTGATTGTCTAAAGTTTATGTTATGTGTGATAAATGTCTGAAAAACGTCTGAAAAACGCCATTATGCCTAATTTTGGTCCAATGTTTGGTTTATTTCAATTAAATTAAAAATCAGACAAAACTATGCTTTTTTAGACATTTTTCATACGCATAAGAAGGAACAAAATCTGATGACAAAAGTAAAAGCAGAAAATATATCTTAATGTCTGGTTCATTCATTCGTTCTCAATGCTCAATAGAAATTAATGATTTGCGGAATCTGAGAAGCTCATAGAACATATAATCATATCCGATGTTATCAAATAACGAGGAGAACGAAAATCGAGCATCCGTTTGTTTATAGAAATCTTCTAATAAGGAAAATGATGATAGAACATATAGTCTGGAATAAAGATGGGATCTATCTATTCATTCTGTTCGTGACTTACTCCGACAGATATCCGGATAAACCGGATAAAGAATTATTATCATGCAGATACTTTTGATTATGAATTTTATCTCTCCCATAATTTATAAAGCACGATCCTATTATTATATTAGATAGCTGAATAATCCGGTTTAACTAACTAAAATCAAGATTTTATCAGAATATATACTAATATTCGGATTATCCGGATCGTCGGATATAAAAATTCCATTTCTAATCTACATTAAGATCATCCCGAGTCTAGTGCTCCTAACAATCGGAAAATAGAACGGTAATAGCAACTGAGATAATTCGATCATGAATTTAATGATTAAAATCTTTCTATTAAAAGCTATATAATAGGTATTAATAGATTAATATTTCTTAAACATTCTCTCCAGCAATCTAATCTATTTTACTCAACACGCTGTAAAAATAAAAGTATTGCTATACAATATTTTTATTTTCACCCGATTTACACAATATTAAGCAGCGATAGCTTTATTAAGTAATTATATATGCCCAATTAACCCATTAACCAAATGGAATTGGATATCTTCGAAAAGGTTGTTCAGTACAACCCATTCGATTAGAGGCTATTTTTTAATCGAGTTAATCAATAATTAACCTATAAAGTGGAATAGATTGCTATAGGTTTCGATTCAGTATCTTTTCAAATGTTTGCGGTGATCTTTTCCTTAAATAAATACTTTTAATTGCCTTTTGATTTTATATAAATACACACTCAATTTTACAAATTTTACTGGTTTGATAAGAATCCTACAACAAAAAAGTAAAAATTAAAATTTACAGGAAAACCAAAACGATGTTAGATCTTTTGAGGCAAAATCTTTCTTTATTGACTACCTTTGCTATTGTTAATGCATTTAATGCAATGGCCGCTCCAGTACCTGATGAAATGAATCCCGAATTGGTGATCCGTGATGCGTAAGTACCTTATTCTGTTTTTCAATATAATTATCATTTGAAACAATTTAATACTAATATTTCATATTCATCTAAAATAACAATAGAGCGTAAGTTTTTCTATTTTGTCATCTAATATAATTATCTTTTGAAATAATTTCGATACTTATCTTTCGTTTATTCACTCATTTATTTAAAATAATGAAAGTGATCCGTAAGTAAAGTTTCAGTTTACTAATATAATTAGATTTTGAAACAATTTTAATAATAATCTTTCATTTATATACTTATTTATATAAATAATCATAGACCGTAAGTTATTTTTCTGCTATCTACTATAATTATCTTTCGAAATAATTTCGATATTAATCCTTTCGTTTATAACTTATTTATTTAATTAATAGCAAGTATGTTATTTCTCTGTTATCTAATATAATTATCTTTCGAAATAAGTTCGATATTAATACTTTCGTTTATAACTTATTTATTTAATGAATAGCGAGTAAGTTATTTTTCTGTTATTTAATATAATTATCTTCGAAATAATTTTGATACTAATCCTTTCGTTTATACACTTATTTAAAATAATGTTAGTGGGTAAGTCATTTTATTCCGTTATCCATTATAATTAGTTTTTGAAACAATTTTAATACTAACCTTTATTTTATTCTGTTATCTAATAAAATTATCTTTTGAAAAACAATGTATAGTGGGGGGTAAGTTATTTAATTCTAATACCCAATATAATTAGCTTTTGCAGCAAGTTTAGTACTAATCTTTTATTTATTTATTTATTTATTCATTAAAAATATAAATAGATGGTAAGTTACTTTATTCTATTATCTAATACTATTATTTTTTTATTAATCATATGCATATCAACTTATTGTTTAAAAAATCATAAATAGCACGTAAGTATTTTATTCTGTCATCCAATATAATTAGCTTTTGAACCAATTTTAATACTAATTTTTCATTTATACACTAATTTATATAAAATAATAATAGAATGTAAGTTATTTTATTATTTTATCCAGTATAATTATCATTTGAAACCATTTTAATTCTAATCCTTATTTATTTAAAATAATGAATAGCTTGTAAGCCTGTAAGTAATTTTTCTGGTTTTCAATACAATTATCAATTAAACCAATTTTATGCTAATATTTTACTTGTTCGCAATTTATTTAAACAATTAACAGATGGTAAGTTATTGTATTTTGTATCCAATTTAATTATCTTTCGAAGCAATTTGATACTAATCTTTCGTTTATGCACTTATTATATAAAATAAGGAATAGTGGGGTAAGCTATCTTAGGCTGTTATTCGATATAATTATTTTATGAAAAATCTTCAGATAAACTTATTAATTATTCGTATATTTATTTCTAGTTCAAAATTTTTACATCAATACAACGAATAGTTCAAACCTAAATTTGCTTACATTTAAATCATTATTTGATTTATTTTCTATATTATGAATTCATCGAATCCATTAATATTTATTTAAATTATTTAATGTTTACAAAAGTATATTTTTTAACTTTATTATTAAAAATTTTAATGTTAAAAGTAGTACTTTAGTCCCTTATTATATAGTAAAAGCTGTTCTAGCTTAGATTATAGCTAGTCAAAGCTTATACTATAACTAGTTACATTATAGATCAATTATAAATTAATTTTATTTGTTCTTTTCTAATTCTTATTTAATAATTATTATGGTTTGTTTCTTGTTCTTATTTAAGAATTATTGTGATTTGTTTTTTTCTAATTCTTATTTATAGTTTTAAATAAATATCACTTTGAATCGTTAAGGCCACACAATGTTGATTTTTGTTTTGTAAAATCCACTGCAAAACTCTTCTTTTTTTTTACAATAACAATTTTATTTCAAAATAAAAATAATAATGTTTATTATAATTATTTTACTGAATTTAATTCAAAAATTAAAGACATAAAAATTACTTGAGTCAAATACAGAAAATAGTACGATATCAAAACATTTCAGGATGGTGCATTTATGAGATCTAATAGTTTATAGTAGTATAAATAAAACTTGTAATTTGTTTAACATATTATTGTTGAGATTATACTGAAATTTTATTAAAGTTACGGTTAGAATTCATTTAAATGATGTATATAGATTATAATAGAGTTACCAAGACATCAAATTTTGGCATCATATCATCTGACCTCATATTGTTGATCATTTTAAAATTAAAAGTGTTTTACATAGTTATAAACCCTTACACTGACTCTAATTTAATGTTTGGCACCGTTTAATAGCTATAGTTTGAGAACGGCTGATTCATTTTTCACGATCTCAATGGTGAAATCAGTCGAAACGGCGAGTCAGTCGCTCCACGATCCAAATTCTTACGTAACCTACGGTTGGCTTAGTCGGAAAGAGTTGTTTAGATTTGGTCGATGGTTTGGGGCCGTAGGTAAGTATTTCTTCTTTACTCGTCTTGGGTTTTCCTTCTCTTGAACTTTCTACTAACTCTATTCTCAATTACCTCACTACTTCGGGTAATTGAACAACACGTACAATCTCAACTATCCTCAATCCTTCGGGATAATTGGACAGTATAACCACGGCTGATCCTGGTACTTTAGGATACAACAGCCTGACGGGAATGTAGCAGTACTTTGGTAGAGAACAGATAATTGCAAGAATCGGGTTTTATGGTCAGGGACTTAGTGATTGCAGTAGTTAATGTAATAAAGGAGATGTTTATGTATTTATTATTATGTAAGGAGTCAGTTATTATTTAATAAAGTGAAGTTCAGGTCTCTTCTTTTCTTAGGGCTTTCACGCCTTTAATTATATTATAATTCTTTATTTACATTTGACATTCTACGTCTGCTACGACTACTACTTCTACCACTTCATTCCTAATTCCTATTTACTCGGCATGACCTTCGTGTCCTACATAGCCGTAGTAGCCTACGTAGCCGAAATAGCCTGAGTGGGCCAGGTTACCCTAATTTGGAGTAGCCATAGTCATGTGCCATGATCATGTGACTTCCCGGATAACAATAGCTGTAACACAGAATCAACCATTATCGAATGTATGGTGTGATCGACTCAGTCTCTCTACAATCCAAGATCATGCGTAACTAATGATAGGTAACCTTACAAAAGAGGTGCATTAGATTAGGCTGAAAGATTATTAAGGTTTGGGTTATTTTGTGTCACAATCATCCGGAAGGTTTGGCTATGTAAACAATAAGTTAAGCGCACAACAAATTATATTTTAGGATTTAGCATAGCAGTAATTTATGTAATATTCTAAGTAATTGTTTAATAAAACTTGAGACTTATTTATTAGTGAAGCAAATGAAACTTTCTTTTCTTAGAGTAATTTGATCTTTTATTTATAACAAACTTTAATTATAACTTAACACAGATATAATTTTTTAAATTTCATTGTTTGTGAGATTTAAATACTGGGTTTCCACTTGAGGGTTAATAACTTGTTCATTTCACCAAATCATCACACTTCAGAAAAAATATTTAAGCATATTATAATATAGTTTTGATACATTTTTTTCATTTATATAATGTAATACTGAATATCATGAACGATCATGTGAAAAATACATGAAATATAATAAGTTATATTTGTGATCAGAAATGGTATTTCAGATCCAGAAGGGAGAATGTGAGAACAAATTATATATCCTTAAAGATATTATATAATTCATAGTAAATAACATTTAGTAGCCTTAAAGTAATAATAAGTCTAAAGTCACATTTGTAAACAATAAATTCAGTAATATAAATAAAAACCTAAATGGCTCTTAAGAATAATAGTACTCTGTTTGCATTATTAAATAATAAGTCACAAACACCTTATATCACTTCTAATAAATACTAATACTAATATTGATAGAAATGTTATAAACCTTATAACATTATTATTTATTAAAGTTTTTGAGCATGTGACTTACCTGACTTGCCTTTGTGGATCCAATTAACCAAAAGTCTTAATTTCTCACCAGTCAAATCTAACACCTTTAAAAAAGTTACCTATCATTTGTTGCAAGAGAATTCAGATTGTAAAGCAATTGAGTTGCAGGAATTCTCTTATGACAATAAGTTATTTTGTTATTTTTAACTAATATTTTTTTTATAAACTTGTTTTATTTTCTTAATGTATTGTTATATTATTTTATTAAGTTTATATTTTTAGTAATAACAATTAATCCAATTATGATGACACATGTACATAGTTACAAACTTTACCTAATATGTTAATATTACTTTAATAGATATTAAACCAAAATTTAGAACCAGTTTTTTTATAGAACTAGCATTATTATATAATTAAAAAAAATCTGAATCTAATAATTTTATTAAAAAAACTTATTATTTAATTTTTTTTAATTACAAATATGATTGCATAATAGTTTTTTTATATAACTTTTATAGATTAGTTGCATTAGCTTTCAATATTTTAGAATTGAATTTGCTTATAATAATTTTTTTTTTAGTATTAAAATGAGGTCTTGCTCATTTATTTATTAGTAATTTTAGTTATATATATTAATATATTATGTAATAAAGATATACTAAGATGTAAAATACAAAATAAAATCTATATATAAGAATTAAAGTTTAGACAACTTTATCTGCAACCTAAACTCACTAAGGTGATCAAGGCCTATTTAAATTTTTAATATTAGAATATAATTATAAGTTGTACTATAATTAATACAGAATATTAAACATATATTAATTTTTCTAAAAGCATATCTAATTAGTAGACAGATATTAGGATGTAAATGTAATTGATTTACTATTTCACATAAATATAAATATGTATAGTTTATATGTAATTTTTTGTGATGTCTAGTTTGTTATATTCATTGTGAGATATTGTAACTGTTAAAAGTTTGAAAAAATATAATGTTATTATTTTTTTCTAGTTAGAAAAGTTAATATAATAAGGTTTTTATATTTGGTTATAGATTTGATCATTAATATTAAGAAATATTTAAATAATATTTGTAAGACTATTTTAGTAAGTATATTGTAGTTATGAATTGTTTTGATTAAGGCTTTAAGTATAAAGTCTTTAAGAATAAGATTGAGATAAAAAGAACTTGTTTGAAATAGAATTTAGTCAAATGATTACTTATTTTAAATTTTATAAATAAGTTCATATAAATAACTAGTAGATAAGTTAGGATTTGCTTTAGATAGAATATAATAAATTGATGAGTTAATAATATTTATAATAAAAAAAAGTTAGAACAAGTTAGCTAATATAAGTAAGAGTCAAAAAGATTATATTAAAAGCAGTTGCCATTTATAAATATAATTAGATAGATATTATAAAGAAAAAAGTATTTGGTAGAACATTTAATAGAGCTTTGATTTTAAAGACTTTGAATTAATTAAATTTAAAACTAGTAAAGTTTTTTATTTATTTATTTATTTATTAATATAATATCAAGTAAAAAAATAATAATACTTGAATATACCAATTAGATATAATGTATAACTAAAGAATTATTCCTAAACTATACTATTGTTGTTATATATATCTAACTACATTTAATATAATATTATTCTTTTATTTTCTGTTATTAGTTAAGTTAACTATTGTTAATATTTAACTACAGAAGGAGTAGAGAAACTCTTAGAATTGTTAAATTAATAAAAGTATATATGTAAATTTTTAAGAAAAAAGTTTAATAATAAAAGAATATATATATATATATATATTTTTAGTATTAAGGTGATCTCTTTGGTCTTTTAACTTTTATTAATCACTTATCAGTATTGTAGTTTAATAAACTACTACAGATGAGTGTATAATTGGCTAAACATATAACTTTTCTATATTACCTATTTAAGAAGTCCACCTGAAGGTTTCTTACCAATAATATATTTAATATCTCTGTTTGGATGTTCTATTTTAAATTTCTGAACCTGTAATCTATGTTAACTTACTGGGTTATATCCAGATACTCAGATCATCATTTCAATCTTAAAACTAATTTATCCTTAAAGTAAACCTTCCAGAGTCTTCTGTACCTATTTTTACAACTGATCTAGATATCACTATGTTAGAACCAATACTTGTAGTCAGAACTTAATCATTAAACTACTATACTCTTGTGAAATTCACTTAGACCCTAGTATCTACTTCACAGTATAATATCAGTACTTTAGTATATCTCTGAATTTTATCAGACTTCCAATTCAGATGACTTATGTAATACTATGATCAGTCTATCAGTATATTAGGTCAGTCCAATATTCTTTTTCTCTGATTTGTTTCAGCAGTCTGGTAGATAGTACCGCTGAGACTCCCAACCCAGAGATTCTTGTCCATCTAGTTACTAAAACCTAAGTACCTGTTTTTCCAGACTAGCCTTTACAATAGCATCATCAAAGATCCAGATATTTTTTTATTCAAGTTTTCTCAAATGAACTTCTTGTTATCTAATTTTAATAGATTTATATAGCTACAAAAACTTATCTTGTGTTTACATCATTCAGTTATCAGTTTGTATTTCTTTGTATAACTTCAACATTGCACAGATGTATCATGACCTACAAGTCATACTAGTGTAACCACCATTACAAGTATCCTTATCCAATTATTAGTAACAGTTACTATAATATGAATATTATATAAATGATTATCCAAATTTTTGTCATCAATAGAATTTGAATACCCAACCTACTACTTGAGGGTTGACAACCTGACCACTTCACTAGGTCACTACACCTCAAGAATCTATATTAGTATTGAAAGTAAAGGTAATATTATTAGAGTTTATTAGTTTTGAAATAATAAATAGATGTTGTTTTTCTTTTTTGTTAAGACAGTTATTTTTTATGCTGATTCTCACTCATATTGTTTAATATTTTGTATTTATTAGATAGTAGAGTTGAACCAAGTAAGTATTGAGTTTAATAATGTAATAAGAAAATTATTAGTTAATTTTTTTAGAATAAGTTGTAATTGTTTGTAATAATATAGAATTAATATATTCTAAATAAATAATAATATTAAGTTATTTATATTAAAGTTTGAAGAAAGATTATATATATTTAGAATTTGTATTATTGTATGTAGTGATGTATTCAATAAATTTAGAGAGTTTAAAGTATTTGTTATTTTGTTGATGAGAATGATATTTGGATTATATAAATGAAGAAAATATTTCAGTAAGTATTTAGTATTTTTATATTGGTTACAAAAGAAGCAGTTCAGAGTTAGATAAAGAATAGGATAGTGAGTATTTAAATTAGATATTATTGGTAAATTGTTAAGTAGTATTTTGTTTCTAAGAAAATATAGATTTAGATTGAGTTTTGAAAATTAATAATTTCAGTTAGTAATTAAATATTTATAATAAAAAGATTCTTTAATAATTTGAATTGGGGAAGTTTGTTAATATTTGAATTGATAATAAATTTTTACAAAATTTATGTAAATTGTATGTAATTGAAATTTGATTTCAAATAAAAAATGAAAAAAAATATAAGTAGTCAAAATTAAGTTTAAACTTAGTTTTATTAGCTTCATATTTAGTTAAAATATCAACTATATTATGTAATATGTTATTTGAATAGGATTTGATCTTGTACATGATATAATTAATATTTTTATACTTAGTTAAGAAGTTTAGAATATGAATAATATCACAATTATTTTGTTTGGTTTGTAAATTGTAATTGTAGAATATTGAGTATATAAAAGTTTGGATAATATATAAACTATGAATTTGATATTTAGAGACTAAAACAAGAAATAAAGAAATGAGAACTATTAGTTCTGTTCTTGTAGAGTTTGGTACATAGAATATAGATGCATTAAATTTGATTTGTATATTATTTTCAAATATTCAAGTGATACAATAGAAATGTTATGTATTTGTGAATTTATTATTGAGACATTAACATAAAAATAGAAATTGTTTGAGTTAATTTGTAGTATTTTTTTGTGCAGATTTATAAGTTGATTTTGGTATATAAAATTAGATATTTTATTTTAGATTAAAAGAATTTTTGAGGAGGGTAGTAAGAGTATAGGAAGAGTTTCCATAACTGACTTATATAATTCTATATATTTGTTTTGAAATACTTAGATTTCTTGAATATTGATATTGAGTTTAAGATATTATTTTCTTTTTATATTTTGTATTCAAGGTTGATAATTTGTTTGTAATTTAGTTGAAAATTTATAGGTATTAGAGAAATATGAATTATATTAAGTATTGTTGTAGTAATTTGATATTTTTGAAGAACTATTTTGAAATTAAATATACTTATTATTTTGTCTATATATTAATTTTCAGATGAGATGTAAAGTGGTTATGTATTTTTAAGATTATTGTATTGAGATGTAATTAGATTAAGTGTATTTTGGAATAAATTGATTGGTTTAAGTTACAAATTAGGCCATATATATTGAATAGTAGAGGAAAATATTTTATTTGAAAATATTTTAAATTAGTTTGGAATAGATCTCAAAGAGATTTATAAGTTCTATGATAGATATTATTCTAGAAAAATAAATTATAATTATTAGTTATAAGTAATTGTTTGAGAAAAAGAATTTTGTTGTTTTTAAGACTTAATATTGTTGAATTATCTGAAAGTAAATGAAGTTATAAATATTATTTAGTTGATTAGTTTGTTTATAGATTGTTAACTAGTAAAGTAGTGAGTTGTTAAGAGAGATATTATTTTTATAAAAATAAAATAGTTGTGATATTATAATAAAATTAAAGGTTTTTCTATAATTTTTAAGTATTATATTTTGAGATAAAGATGATTTCTATATTTTAGAAAACTATTCTTTAGTTCAATATATAAAAATTTAATTTAGAAATGTGTTGGTATTGAAACATCTTTTTATGTTATTGTTGCTAACTTGTAATATAAGTTTGTTATGTGTTAAAATATTAAATAATTATGGATTAGTAAGAATATCATTGTTTGTATTTGTAGATAGGTAAAACATGTGATTGTACATTTTGTTAGCATGCTTAATAGTTGTTAAAGTTGGTTTTAAAAAGAGAAACAAATTTGAAGTAGGTATTTTAAAGATGATAATAGAATAATATTAAATAATTATAATATTTGTATAGGAAGAAGTTTTTTGTATTAAATGATATGAATAAATTGGAAGGTTTTGTTAAAGATTTTGTTGAGTGTGAGTTTAGTTGAGCCTTTTCTATCTAAAAAAATTCTTAAGGGTTTCATCATTTCATCAGAGTTTCGTCAGTTTCACTTTCGTCGAGTTTAGTTTCGACTTTCGCCATTTGTCAAAAATAGTTTCACCTGTCAGCACTAACAATGACTCTATCCACGTCAGCAATTATAAAGTTGATAAGCCAAAAAAGATGAGTTGGGACAAATATTTTTTTGCTGGAAAGGTAAATTTATTAGGACCGCATGTGTCATATCTTCCTTATCTTAAATGACAAGCGTGTTTGGTCGGTTAAAATATTTTATCCCTTAATATTTCTGTTGTAGTTGACTTTTAAAGTTGTGTTTTCTTAATAAGATCAGCACTTCAAAAACGACGACTCTAATAACAATTACGAATGCAGTAGCTGCAAATGACGAAATCCAAAAAAAGCCTAATCACATTTATAGTGATTAGGTGTTTATATTATATGGTCAGTAGGATACCAATAAATCGCATATGCGACAAATTATTATCCATTTTGTAATATAAAAAAGAAACAAAATTTTGTAATAAAAATTATGTATATATATATAACTTATATGGTTACATATCTTACAATATTAACTTTTAACTCTCATAATATTTATATTTAATATAATAAATATAATAAAAGACATGTACTTAAAAGAACTAATAAATATATATATGTGTATATAAAACTACTAAAAATTTTTAACTAATCACAGGTCGCATTTTATAGATTCCAGATTTCCCGAGTAATATATAAAATTTGCTGATCAAAGTAATCTACAATAACAACTCATCTAACAAGACATCATCGGGGTTCAATGTGCGATATAATTCAAAACTGAACTCATTATTAACAAAAAGTTTCTGGCACATTTTATCAATAGCAATAATGCTTAATACAGTTTGCACATATGCATCAATTAAATCATCAATACCAAATCCAGTAATATCAAACTCTTTCTGGTCAACTGTGATTAATCTTTCATGTTCTTCCACCCAACTAGAATCTAATTTAACAGATATATTTGTTCCAAAGACCTTCCATGAGTCCCCTATTATATTCAAATAAGTTAGTTTTAACTGAAACTAGTAATGTATATCCTAAGATAGTGCAATGCAAAAATAATCTATACAGCAAGTCTGAAATCTTTGCCAAGTTATGTGATTGTAACAAATAAAATTTAATAGTCACAAGATCATGTGTAATATAAAAATATTGAAGAAAAAAGAAAAATCGTAATTAACTAAAAACTTGACAATGCAAATTACAATTTAGCAAAAATACTATTCTTGATGGATCAGCAATACTTGTTTTGATGGGTTTTTTAAAAACATTATTTGAATACTGCTCTTGAAAGGGTTCTAAAAATGATCCTAATTCCTAATTTTTTTATACATTGCTATAGTAGTATAGTATTTTAGAGGTCATTTTTTAGAACCTATAAAGAACGGTATGTAACTTGATATTTTTCTGCCTAACAAAAACAGTATATATTAAATTATCTTTATATTCTTTCGAATTAGTGATCAAGATAACCTGGCACAAATTTCAGACATGCATCTATATATACAACCCACATAAGTTATACATTAATTATTAACTTACAATTAGAATTATTTGGTAGATGGATGGGTAGTGGCTCACGAGCACGTCGTGACACAATAACCACAGGATGAAATCCAGTCTCATCGGTAGATACCATCATTCTCAAGTCATTAACAAAAGTTTGATTATGACAATTTGACACAGTACCAATATGGTAATATTTTTCAGGGCATAATTTCGTATACCATGATGCACTTCCAACAAGAGATTGTACAATAAATTTTTCGTAATGATGATTAGCATCAAAGAATTTTTTTAATTCTTCTGGATTAGTGATGGTGTAAACACCATGCCCTAATTTTGTAAAAGATGATTAGACCTGTGCTATTTGCAATTTAGAAATATAATAATCAATTATGTAAAGAAAATATTTACCGCAACTACCATAAGGAGATTTAATCACTGCATGCCCACCCATCTTTTCGATACATGAAAAAATTTCGCTCTTGTTTATATTGCATACAGTTTTTGGAAAACGAATAGCAAGCCCACTTCCGGAAAGTTCAGTATTAAATAATTCAAATGATTTTGATGCCATAATTTTGTTGTGACCTCCAGCTAGGCATGAGATTGTATTATTAAAGACTACAGTCTTAGAATTTAAAGGAAAATAAGTCCAAGGTTTATAAGCTATACGATTAAAACATGCTCTAATAGGGTGCCAAACTAATTATGAAAGGTAATTAATAGTAAATATTAGTCTGGCAATTTTTGATATTATAACTAATAATTGATAATAACCTTCATCTTGATCTTTGATATACAGAACTCTATTCTCCCATTTAAGAAGTTGTTCATATTTAGCAACATCGTAAAGCATTACAATCCAAACATGTTCTTTAGTTTCTTCGGAGATTGCGGCCGCGTACCCAGTTGCTTCTGCTTCATCGCTAGCCACATCACATACTATAGCAAGTTCTCCAAGGGATGGATCAGCATCTTTTAGAGCTTGTTTAAATGCTGTTTGCGTTACGAACTTATATCCATTATGTCTTTTATTTATATCTAACAAGGGCATTGCCTCTTGTCCTGCTGGACTTGAACCCGATTCAACAATAATCATTTGTCGTTTACCATTCGAATCAATTACATTAAAGAAATCAGTGGCTAAGAAAATAATATAGTAAATATATATTACTATTAATAATTAAACAAAATATATAATTCGTAATATACATTTAACATAAGCGAAGCAATCACCTGCCCATTTATAAAATTTTGGTTCATACTCTAAACAATTTCTCAAAACATTTGCATCAATTTGAGGATTCAAACTTTTATATCTGGCAATAATGCGATCATTTCCTAGACCGAAAAAAGAAGACACAAGAGGATGAATTGTTGCATTGAGTACTTTTGAAATAACACATTGTTCTGGATTAACATCTCCTGGACACACTTTCTTTGTTGGATTATTAATAGACATGGTGTTAATAAATACATTGTTCTCTTGCTCTTTTCTAGTACAAAGTCTTTTATTTGTATCTGAACTTAAGATTGAATCATTCACTGGAAGTACTGTATTCATGTTTTAAGTGAGAATAGAATTTAAGTGAATTTTGAATTTCTTTGATAAGATTTAGTGATGCAGGCATATTTAAAAATTACAACCCATACCGATACCCGTGCACTAGTTGGATAGACTGAGGATTTGGATAAAACAAGAAAAGAACATGAATCATACGTACGAATGCAGTCCACTGGCATAACCATATGTCAGGGACGACCAGATAAGGCGTAATCCGTTATGTTTAATTTTATTTTTCTTTATTATTTTCTTTATTTGGTTAGTACGTAGGTAGGTAACAAAAGTAACGTATTTCAAAATCAAATTGCTGAATATCACTACATATAAAACTTAATTTTTTTATTAAATAAACCGGTCTTGGCGTACTAAGTAAAAATATTCATCAAATTTGCATTAATGACGATTTTTATAAAATTTAATTATTAATTAAATTAAGCCGAAAATTTGTGGAGTTGCTTTAAATATATGAGTGACGAAAAGGAAAACCTGTAAATCATTTACTTAATGAGTGAAATGATTTACAGGTTTTTACTTTTCGTCAGAATCTCTAAGGAGTATATTAAGATGATGCATTGAGTTTAGATAGTGTATAGTAGAGTTGAGGTGTATAGGTATAGTTGATTGGTTGGTTAAGAAGGTTTTAACTTGTCTAATGATGTTATTAAGTTTTTTAAGATTTAGATAAAATAAAGTAGTTTTAGCTAAAAATGAGTGTTGGAAGTTATGAATTATTGTTTTTTTTATTAGGAATACATTTAGTAGTAACATTAATAATACTAGTTTGAATTTATACTAAGTGGTTTCAAAAGATTCTGAGATTTGAATAGAGAAAGGGGTTTTGTTTGTAATGAGATTAAAAGAAACTTGGTCAACAAAGATTTTCCATTGCTCTTTATTCATTGCTTTGTAATTAAAAATTTGGTATTTGGTTTTGATTAAATATTTGTTTTTGTTTATAAGGGTATAAGGAAATATTCAAGAGAATATAAGAATTTTGTAATCACTTTAGATACAGTTTTCTGTATTATCCAAGTGAGATAAATTGAGATATTTGAGTAAAGAAAGGTAGACCAAATATAATTGATAATACTGTAATGTTTACTACTATGTCAGGTATAAAAAGAGATATTTGTGTAATTTGCTAAGTTATAAATATTGTTATATTATAGAAATTGTAATAATTTGTATTTAATAGATAAGAAAATAGAATTGTTAGATGACACATTAAAGTTATCTAGTATTATAGGTAAAATGTTTTAGTTAGTTATTTATTGGATCTATTGAATAATAGTGTCTTATATTTGAAGTCTTAATTATAAGTTTTTATATAATAAATATATAGAGATAATACAGAATTTGTAATTATATTTGAAAAAAAATTAATAGCAATAGTATAGTTAAAAAGAATAAAAATTTTGTGAATGTAAGCTATAAGTTATTTGTAAATCATAAGCACAGTTTTAGTTTTGGAAATGTTAGTATATAATCAAAAATAAGAATAATATTTTGAGTTATAAATTTGGTAATATCATTGTCTTATGTTATTTTAGTTTTTGAGATCTTCTTTAGTATAGATAGGCACTATCACTAGGAGTAATCTTTAGTAAAGGTAGACAAATTTCAATTAGTTTTACATTACAATAGTTAATTAAATTAAACTATTATAAAATTAAATAAACTAACTTAAACAATTATAAAATTTTTTTTTTTTTAATATTAATGGTAAGGCCATGTCTCTATCTTTATTGAATATTTAATTAAGATTTTATATAAAGTACAGTTCTGCTTTTAAAATATTATAGAAAGAATAGAAGCTCAGACTAATTTATCTGCAACTTAAACCAACCGGAGTGGCCAAGACTCATCTAGATTTGAGTGTTAGTGATTATGTATAGAAAATTAGTTTGATATTTGATCCATTGGATATGCCAAAAGTTTATTTTTAATCTAATAGAATTGAGTGGAAGAGAGTATGATAAAAGTGAGGCAGCATTTGAAGGTGTGTTATATTCAGGTATTTGGGTTGTAGATCTTGAGATACAATATGAAATCCAGATTTTATGATAGATTTATTGGTGAGATAAAATAAGAACTTGATAACAAGTGTTATGGTAATTTTTTTGGATGACAGATTTGCAATAATGTTAATAGGTTCATTTGGTATTAGACCCATTAGTATTGAAAAGATTGAAGATAAGTCTGGTATACTATAAATAGTTATACTACTCAATAGCTTGATTTGGTTATATAAATTGGCTACAGTATTTGAAATAGTGTCGAGTGTTTTAGTGTTTAAAGTATGTTGTAATGAAATGTCTATAAGGCTGTATAGCAATTGATTAGATGAACAGGTTGTCCAGTGAAGATGAGAACTGATTTAATAACATTGGTGACAGATAGGTGAGTATAAGTGGTATCATTTATGTAAAATATGTGGAATAGAAAGATCATCTAGTAGAATTTTAATTCTAAAGGATTTAAGAGTAGAGGACTAAAAACTGTGCGAGAAGTTTGAGATTTTTTGGTTATTGTTGATATATAACTATGTAGCTTGCTAATTAACTTAGTTAAGAATTTTGTTCTATTTTTGAAAGCGGTGTTGTGTGATTCATAATGCATAAATATGTACATGATATATTGTACAGATATTATGACAAGTAGGTAATTCTAAAAAAAAGTTTTCAAGATTTAGAGTATATGCAGGGTTGTAAATATTGTAGGGCATAAAGATAAGATATGACAGATTGTAGTGGCTGCATGAGAGTTGGTCTGCAAGGTTGTTGTACTGATTGTCCTAATGAGCAGTAACTTTGTAAAAAATAATATGAATCTATATATAATATAGAATGGGTAGATAAACATTATGAGATAAACACTATGAGATAAACACTAGGAGACAAAAATCAATTCTGATTGGTCAGTTTTATGCATGACTGTAATTAGTGTTACACACCAGAATTGGTACCACAGTTATCACGTTACACATGGCACATAATCGATCATCACATTTAGATTCTGAGTAATTGGTTATATAAAAAGTAAGAGAAATCTTACTTTTCTTACTTTTATTACTTTATTACTTTGGGTAGATCAATGGAATGGGTTTTCTTTATGATTTATCTCATAAAGTTTATCTACTTATTCTATATTATATATAGATGCTTTAAAATCGGAGTAATGCGATGGGTTATACGCTAGTATTGTATGATTTAACAAAGTTGATAAGTGTATTCCATAATGAGAAGTATGATGTATATATATAAGATAAAGTATGAGTTGAGTTTGAAAGACTGTGATATTTAGATATTACAGACTGTGAGTCAGTATATATGTATATAGTACAGTTTCTAGGATCAGAAATAAGGGCTGTTAGAATAGCAGTAAGCTTAGCTTTAAATAAGCAAGGCCAATATCTTATTTGGGCTTGAAAGGTATGCATTATATTGTTGTTGAAAATTTGGACCCATTCAATGCCCATAGAGCATTGTGAGATGTTCAGATTGATGACAGAACCATCTGTATAAAAATGAAGTTCTAATAGTTGTGCATTGTAGTTAGCAATTTGTTGAAGGTTGTTTGTTAAAGTACTAGGTTCAAATATCATTGGGATTAAGTATATTGTAATGTTGATATTAGAAGGATTAAGAATTTGAATAGGATGTCAGATTGTGATAGAGTACATAAGGTCAAGGTGGTTGACATTAAACTTAAGGGTTTTGTTGTATATATTGACTTGACCAAAGAATCTAGAAGAGAGATTGATAGGAATGTTGATTGTGTATTTGTTAGCAATTGTGTAAGAGTTGAGAGAACAACCTGGACATATTTGTGATTGAATTAGTGGAAGTGGATATAGATGAGCAAATTGTTGTTCTATCTGGCATTGCCAATGAGTAATAAGAACAGTTTTTGAAGAAGAGGGCTGTCTTCTGGCTTTGCCAATAATAATTTGATCATCAAGTACTGTAATAAGCCATGGTTTTTTCCTTAAAGAAAAGTGTCCAGTTGAATAACTATAATAGTTTATATTAGATAAGTGTAGATGTTGATAAAGAGTGCAATTATATGAATGACTTGTAGTTTGGTTTTCTAGATAATTAAACCAGAGTGGTTGTTTGCCTTTAGGAATTTTGTTTATATATGTAGATATATGTTTTCAGTCTAAGAGGCATGAGTTGTTGAATGTAGTTAGTTGGGCTAAGTAGAGAATACAATGGTATCTAAGTTGTTTTTTGAAAGTTAAGTATTTTGGATATGATAAAAGTAATGATTAAAGTGAAATAGATCCTTCTTGAATAGTGTGTGGTATATTATATAATGGGTTAGATGAAAATATAATACCAAGATAGTTAAAAAGTTGGATAATTTTAAAGTTTACAGTATGTTTGTTAGGCCCATTAATGATAGGGTTATCATGTATCAAAATACTGATAGATGACTACAGATTGTTCTAAAGTTGTTGAAAACAATTATAAAATTAAATAAACTAACTTAAACTAATTAAAGTTAAATATTTAACTCATATGAGTCAGTTTGAGTTAGATATTTAACTCATGTTGATCAGCAATTACAGATTAAATAATTAGACATTTATTTTATTTTTTTTTGTTAACTTTGTTGTAAGCAGTTAGCATTGATTTTGGGTTTATTAATGCCTTTTTTTCTTGTCTTTTTGGTTTTATGGAATTGGATTTTTGGTTTGAGTAAATATATTTACTTCATTTGTTGTTTGGTTTTTTTGCTTATAAAATACATTACTAACACCTATTCTTTTTTCCTGATATTTCTTTTTTGGTTTCTTGAAATTGGGCATTTGGTTTTGGATGAGTATATTAATTTTGTTTGGTTTTTTTACTTGTGAAATACATTACTAATACCTTTTTTTCTTTTCTGATACTTTTTCTTGACTTTTTCATTTGGAATTAGTTTTTGGTTTTGGGTAAGTATATTTATTTTGTTGTTTGGTTTTATTGCTTGAAAATATGTTTACTAATGCACATTCCTCTTTCTCGATATTCTTCTCTTGGTCTTTTAAAATTGGAATTTTGGTTTTGAATAAGTATATTTATTTTATTTGTTGTTTAGTTTTCTTACTTAAAAAATATATTTACTAATGTCTATTATTCTTTCTTGATGTTTCTCTCTTAGTTTCTTGAAATTGGACTTTTGGTTTGAGTAGGTATATTATTTTATTTATTGTTTGGTTTTCTTGCTTATAAAATACATTACTAACATTCATTTTTATTTTCTGTGTTTCTTTCTTGATTTCTTAAAATTGGATTTTTGGTTTTGGGTAGGTATATTTACTTTGTTGTTTTGTTTTCTTAGTTGTGAAATATGTAACTATTATCTATTCTTCTTTCTTGTTGTTTTTCTCTTGATTTCTTGGAATTGGGCTTTCAGTTTTGGGTGGATATATTTACTTTATTTGTTGTTTGGTTTTCTTGTTTGTAAAATATGTTACTAATATTTATTTTTTTTTTCTGTTGGTTCTCTCTTGGTTTTCTAAAATTAGGCTTTCAGTTTGAGTAGGTATATTTACTTTGTTGTTTGGTTTTTTTGTTTATTTTTTTTTTTTTAGTATTAAGGTAAGGCCTTGCTTATATCTTTATTAATAATTTAAAATAGTTACATGTATATATGCTATAGTCGAGGCCAACACTTGCAGTTAGGGCTAATCATTAAACTGCTAACTATACAGCTATTACTATTTGTACAAAACAAATAAATTGAAAATTACATGCAAAAATAAAAGCTTAAACTAATTTATCTGCAACTTAAACCTACTAGAATAGTCAAAGCTTACTTAGATTTGAATGTTTAGTATATAATTTGATAATATGCTGTATTTGATCTATAGAATAGACCAAATATTAATTTTGCAAATTGCTTGGCTAATTGGAGGGCATGTATTAGAGTGAATATATAGTTTATCTGAAAGTCCACAGAGGCATGAGTAAGTATAGTTTCTATGAAAATGTGTATGCCTAGTTGCTAAGTTAAATAGTATTGAAGGTTTGTTAATTGGTTGAGATTGAGTTCTATTTTGTTGTTTTTTCTAGCTAAAGAAATGAATACAATATGTTTTTCATAATTGTTTATATGATTGTTCATTAATATTAAGAAGGATATCGATAATAATTTGGAAAGCAGTTTTGTATAATATGTTAAAGTTTTGAACTGTTAATATGAGTAATTTTGGAATAAGTCCTTTGAGAATAAGGTTAGGATAAAATGTGTTAGGTAGGATGTATAAGGAATTGAGAGCTGAGTAATGAAGGGTTTTATGTATTAAATCATTTTTTTGATAAGTAACAAGATCAGGTAATTTGCTGAAGATAATTTGATTAATAAATGTTTAAATAATTTAGTTAAGCAAAAGTGTATTAGTACAAGTATGCCAATAAGAGTAAGAGTTAGCTAGATTACAGTAGAAACAATTAGTATCTAGATATTGGTTTGGGTAAATAGTATAAAATAGTGATATGTTGGTAACTTGTTAAGAAGAATTTTGATTTTAAAGGATTTTAGTTGATTGAGTCTGAAATTAGTAATATCATGTGAGGGTTTTTGATTATGGTTAAAATAAAGCTAAGTGAATCTCTAGTCAATATTCTGATTAAAGTATGACTACTCACTATTATGTTTTTGTAATGTCTATATAGCTAATATATGGGCTTTACATATTTGCTTAATAAAATATCTTGTAGGAAGTTCTACATAATGTTGCTTTCATTAAAGAATATGATAGATTTTCTTGCTTATGAAATAGTTACTAATGCACTTTTTTATAAAAATTATAAAACAATTGGCTAACTTTATGATCAAGATTTTTCAGATTTGATTTTTAACCTCTCTTGAAATTTTATAAAAAGAACCTTCAAATGCTAAAGAATTTGCAGATAATATCTAGAAATTAAACCAGCAACTTCTTTTTGGCTAAATAGTCTAGAAAAAGCAAATTTTTGCTTAAAATTTGGGTGCATTAATATTTGATTTACTCTTAAACATTTTACATGTAATATCTAAACTGACTTATAAGTTGTTTATAAATTTGAATATCATTTAGTAATAGATATGCTGCTTATTTTTTTTCTCTTATACAATAAATTTTTAGTGAATATATTAATAAAAAATTGTTTTATCATATAAATTCATGTTTTGTTAAAATGTAATGTTAAAAATTTGAAATAAAATTAGAAGTTGAATAAATATGATTTTTTTTCATGTTATGTGCAAATAAAGATATAAAACAATATTAGCTAAGTGTAATACAAAAGAAAAATCAACTTTATAATATAAATTATTATTATTGTTATTGTATAAAATTAACTAAATGGTTATCAGGATGATTACATAATTATTTGAATTACAATCTTGTATATTTACAGTTTAAAGTATGATTAAAAGCTAATACATATATTTTATTATTTAAATAAAAAAAAAATACATATATTTATTCAAAATTGAGATAACTTGTAGCTTTTAAAGCATTAATAAAACCATCTCATACATTATTTTTATTTTTTTCCTTTATATGAATTAATGAAGATGGTTAGTAATATTATTCTTCATTCTATCATGAGGTGGGATTCTCAATTTCAAACTATTTCACAACCCTTTAATAGTATTAGTATGGTCTTCAGTTATAGGGTCTATGAAGTTTACAGAATGATTTACCACATTATGGGTTATGCTTAAACTTTCAAGCCTGTTATATCCTTGCCACATTTGTATACATGATAGAGCCTTCTAAAACATGCTGAAATATAACTTCAAGTAATGTATTAGTAGTCCTATTAGCGACTACTTTAACAAAATACCTTTTTTTCTTTGTTCATTCGAATTTACCAATAACCTATACCTATCAACCCAATAATCTTGATGATACTTTCTTTTACCTAGTATTACAAATCAATAGTTAAAAAAATTGTTTAGTTGATAAGCTAACAACTAATTAAACTTTTAAATAACAACTAATTGATTAGTTACAATAAATTAATTAAAGAATTAATTACTAATTAATTAAAAAATTACTTAATCAATTAATTAATTAATTATGACTAATTGATTAATTGCAGCTTAATGATTAATCTATTAGTTACAACTAAGAAAATAAACTAATAAATTGATAATTTAATTTAAAAATTCACAGACACATGATGATATATACTAAAATTTTATTGGCCAAATAAACTACAGATTATTAATGCATTTTTTAATTAAAATTATCTTTTAACATTAGAATAAGGATGAGCACTCAGGTGATAATAGAAAGGGCCTTGCATATAGCAAAATTTTGTAAGAAATTTTTTTTGCAGATCTATTAAAAATGTAACTTTTGCAATATTGCTAAAATGCAAAAAGTAGGTTTGTAATTAATATTTTAAGTTATGAATGATTTTTTGAAAAAAGCCAGCAGTTTGTTTTGTTTTCACATTACATTTAATTCTGTATTGTGATTGGTTTAAAATCATGTGTTTGCAAATTTTTTATGCAGTTGCTATGTATAATAAAAAAACTCTTATCCATTTTAGTCTCATCAATTTCAACAATTACACTGAGACTACTAATCATGTTATTTTTATCTTCCAGGATGCTAGAAATCATTTTTCTAAACAAATTCATGTAATTGGTAATGGTTGCTAATAAATGACCTGTTATATTTAATATACTTATGTATGTAATTTTATTTAACTAAAAATAACCAATTAACATAGTGTCTAAATACCTTAGACAGTTTTTTAAGAAAAATGAATCTTTTAATATAGAAAAGATTTATGACAGTTATAATTAATACATCAATGAAGTTTTTTTTTATGATAAATTTAAAATTGCAAGAAAAACAAAAATGCAGTTGTATAATATGTCTTTATTAAAGACATAATTGATACATTTATCTTTTTTAAAAATATCTTTAGAAGAAATTTTAAAGTAGAAGGTAGAACAACAATAGACATGTTTGAAATTTGTTTTTTTTTACTGTAATAAACAATATAGAAAATAGGCTAATTTAATTCTAATAATATACAGAAAATAATAATAAACTTTTAGTAAATAGAGTATCTTTTATAGCTTTTAGAGAACTAGCTGAGCCAAATGACACTATATGGTAATACATTGATATCAATAATATTGAGTTGATATGATGTAATGACCAGTATTACTGCTAAGAGTGATAATAAAATAATTATCTAAATAAGAATAATATTAAAGTAGATGATCAAGTTCAGTGATAACTTTAAGTTCACATAATAGGTTGTTAGATCAATAGTCTGGTAACTGATCATAACTTTTGTTCTCTATTACAATTTCTATTCATGAATAGAAATATTTGATTCTATAATCATTTTAGAATCTGAATCTTGTTCCTAATTGAATGAGATGGTTAGAATTAGTGATATGCATTTTTCAATTTTTTCAAATTTCATGCATATAAGAATTTTTAAAACCATTTATAAGTTTTTAGAATATTTCAAAATCTATTAAAAATTGAGACCTGTATTATGATGGCTTCTTAGTATTAAAGTATATATAAAATTATATACAATTTTTTAAATTTATATATTACAGTTGTGCATTAAGGTATTAATTCAAACCTGGTCATTTTAAAAAACCAGATATATTACTTAAAATACTGCTCCAAACTTTATGTCCCATTATAAACAGCTTAGATAAAAAAAATATATAATAAATAGATTCATATTTATTAGAAAAAAGATTTATAAATAAATAAAGTTTTATATATTGTTAATCTGTAGTTTTTTTTTAAACACAGTAATAACAGAAGCTGCTCGATTATAGTATAATGACTATAACTTGACAGATTCTATACAAAAGTCTACACAAAACTTTAACAAAATACAGAGTAATTTGGGATTTTAAGGCAGAGGCAACAATAAATAATATATGAAGATACTAAATATTGCATTTAGTTAAAATATATGAAGACACTTAACTTTCTTGAAGGGTCAGAAGTAATGCTTTTATAGATATTTTACATGTATAAATTATTACAATAAAGACTACTCTATTGCTAATAAATGCTATTTATAATAATATTTTTTTTTAAATATTAATGGTAAGACTATGCTCTATCTTTATTAAAACTCAGTTAAACTTTTTACAAGTAAAATATACAGAAAAAATTTATAATTAAATTTTATATCTATAAAATATTAAGATTAGAGGCTCAGACAAATTATCTGCAACCTAAACCTATCAGAGTGGCCAAGGCTCATCTAGATTTTAAAATTTGTAATTATGATAAGCAGATTTATTTGATATTTGATTTATTTAAAGTATCATGTTTCAATTTTAGAACTAGCGATTGAGTGTAATGCATGTTGTGTTAGTAAGTTTTAAGGAGTATGAGATATTAAATTTGGTTAAGATTGTCTCTGGGTTGAGACCTAAAAGCACAATATAATATCTAGATATATATATAAATTTGTTGGTTAAGATAAAGCAGAAGTTTAATTGAGAGTATAATAGCAGTTTTATTAAATTGAGTAATATTTTTAATTGAATCAATTAATTTATAAGGAATTAGACCAGACAGAGTTGATATCAGAGAGGATGAATTTGGTATATTGTAGTTTTGTATACAGTTAAGATTTTTAATTTGGTTGTGCAGATCAGATATAGTTCTTAATGTTGTGTCAAGAGTCAATATATTAAAAACATGTTTAAGTAAGTTATCAATAAGATTGTTTAGAAGATGTGAAGATGGGCAAGTAGTTAAATAAAGTGGAGTACTAATTTGGTTATATTGGTGACAGTTAGAAGATTGGGTGTAGTTACATTTATATAGATTATGTGGAGTTGGAAGGTTATCTATAAGGATTTTTATATGAAAAGACTTAAGTTAAGATGTTTGAAAACTGTGTTAGTAGTTTGTTATTTTTTAATTATTGTTAATATAGAGCCAGATGGCTTTTCAATTAGTTTGAGTTGCAATTTGTGATCATTTTTGAAAGTAATGTTGAGATGACCATAGTGCATAAATATAGGCATGACAAATTGTAAGATATAACAGTAAATAGGTAGTTCAATAGAGTAGTTATTAAGTTGTAGTGTATAGTTAGGACTATAATAATTTTGTAAGTTAAATAGTAAGTATAGAAGGTTAAAATGATTATAGACAAGGTTGTCAGCAAGGTTATTGAATTCATTATTCTAATGTGCAGCTACTTTATACAGAATAAGTTGTATGTTGTAAGATTTTGTAAAGTTAATTAAGGTATACCAAAGTGAGTAGTATGGAGTATTGATGAATAATAATTTAAGTGATGTTAAATTGGTACTGTTGTATTTAGATATAGCTAATTGTAAGTCAGTGTAAATGTGTACTGTACAGTTTCTGGATGCAGTAATAATAGCAGAAAAAATTGCAGTAATTTTTGCTTTAAAAAAGCATAACCAGAACTTAGTTTGTGCTTAGAAGGTATGTAAGATATTGTTGTTTTATACTAAAGCCCATCCAATTCCTATTGAGCATTGAGATGTGCCTGCCTGAATAACTGATCTGTCAGTATAAAAATGAAGTTCAGACTTGTTGTAGTTTGAGTTGGCAATTGATTGCAGAGTGTTGATAAGATTACAATTGTTGAAAACAGATAGAATAAGTAATGCAGGTATATGGATATTAGCTGCATTAGGAATTTAAGTAGGATGTTAGATAGCAATAGAATAAAGCAAGTCAAGATAATTTGCATTGAGATTAAGTTGTTGATTTTAAGTATTAAATTTTCTAATAAATTTAGTTGTAAGATTAATAGAAATAAATATTGTATATTTGTTAGTAATAAAATTAGAATTAAAATTGCAGCCAGTGCATAGTTTAGTTGTAATTAAAGGTGTTGAGTATAGTTGTGTAGCATGAAGCTCAATATTGCTATGCCAATGGGTATTAAGTATTTACTCAGAAGAGGTGGTTGTCTTCTGGCTTTATCTATAATTATTTGATCTTAAAATGTAGTAATAAGCTATGACTTAAAACATTTTGAGAAATGTCTAGTAGTGTAGCTAAAGTGATTGGTTTTTGGAAGTTGGTAATGATTGTAGAGAATTTGATAATAGGAATGATTTGTTGTGATATCTTCAAGAGTAATAAACCATAATGGTTTTCTGCCTTTGGGTATTTTATGAATTCTTGGTAAAATGTGTTTCTAGTTAAGGAGACAGAAATTGTCATATGTAGTAAGTTGATCAAGAAAAAGAATATGATGTTGACAAAGTTTTTAAAGGTTAGATATTTGGAATGTGATGATAGTATTGATTTTAGTGTAATTGTTTTAGTGTTAATTGTATGTGGAATGTTATACATTGGGTTTGTGATAATAGATAGCCCTAAATAAAAAAAGAGCTAAATAATTTTGGAGTTAGTTGTTTGTTTGTTTGTTTGGTCTATCAATTAGAAGATTTGAATAGTTCAATATATTGGTCAAGAACAAAAGATTATTTTGTAGTTGATGAAGGCAAATATAAGAACTAGTGCCAAGGAGTTCAATATTGTTTAGATGTTTAATAAAGTTAGGAATGTAATGTTGTAGTTGAATATCTCAAATGTTGTGAATATTGTAAAGTTGAGAGTGAAGGAAGTGCTAGTAGGAATTGTACAACTAAGTTTAGCTTTTTGTTTCACTAGGCCAATGTGATAAGTAAGAAGTTTTTTTACAAATAGCTTGGCTGAAAACAATGTTTTGAATACAATATTCAATAGTAGGTATAATAATAGTATTTATAATATAATACGCATGAGTATCAGTAATATGTTTGAAGCTAGCGATTTTAATAAGATGTTAAGACTTATTGATAATAAGTTGGATTTGTTAGGAATGTTTGTTGTTGAGTGTAAACCAGCAACTAAGAAATTTAAAAGGCATGCAAGGTAGGTGAATAGAAAGTGTATAGTTGTTGAAAATAATAGAATTGTAATTAAATAATGGATTGTTAGTTGTAAGTATAGATTTAGAAAGATTAATTTGGATATTAGCTATGTAATAAAATAACTTAGCTATTAAGAGAATTTGAGACAGTTTTGCTTATAAAAATGCAAGCCAGAGAGTGTCATGCATATAAGTGAGAACTGAACAGTGTGTTTCAAGTTTGTTGAAGTTTTTATTTTTGAGATTGATGATCCAAGTAGCTTGCATTGAATGGCCTGTAAATTGTAAATAAATTAAGGTTATAAGAGGATTATAGTAGATTCTTTAGAGCAGTGGAGTGATAGTTTCATCTTGATTGATTTCATTGTGAACTGGATATGATGAGTTAAGGCTGAGATTAGTAATAACTTGATTATGTCTATTTGTAAACAAATCTATTATTATGTTTATAGTTGTTAGAGATAAAGTGAGTTATAAAAGTGATTGTTCAAGAAGAGTAAGATTGACAGAGTCATATGCTTTGCTCATGTTCTGAAACAAAAGCCAAATTTTTTTGTGGCTGCAGGATGCATTCTCAGTAAGATTATTAAAAATATATATAGAGATAGATGTACTATTGCCTGAAAGAGCAATGTAATTGTAAGGAGAAAGGATAGTGTATTGTGTGAATGTAAAGTTAAGTCTGTTTGTAATAATTTTTGTATAAAGTTTTTGAATATG